ACCTCTGCGAACCTCTTAACCCCCTATCATCCTGCTCACTCCTTCCACTCAGCAGGCTCCGACCTGCTTCACGTCCCCCACCTCGCTTACCCCACTATTGGCGGGCAGGCCTTCTGCCTCTCTCCCCCCCCACCCTCTGGAACACTATCCCGCAGTGCCTCCGCTTCACCCCCTCCCTTTGCACCTTTAAGACCCATCTCAATGCTGTGCTCTTTCACTGTGCCTTTGATCTCCGTGCTTTTCCCCCTGCTTCCACCTTCCCTGACCCCGACACCAGCTCGTGTCTTTAACTTTGTGTATCCAGCGCCTTGGGATGTCCTCCCAACTTGAGAGGCACTTACAAATGTAATTTTGTTGTTTTTGTTGTTTTGTGAAGGCAGATGCAAAGTCCTCATTCAGTATGGCAACCATGCTCTCTCCCTCCACAAGAAGATTTCCTCTTTGGTTTCTAATTGGATCCACCTTAACTTTGACTAACTTTTATTCTTGATATGCTGATAAACTACCTTAGGGTTCCCTTTTTATGTTACCAGCAAATCTTTTCTCATTCAATCTCTTGCCCCTCTTAGTTACTTTTTCAGTTCTCCTCTGTACTTTCTATATTCTATTTGATTATCTTTTATATTTTGGACCTGACATTTATCATTAGCCTCCTTTTTATGTTTTTTTCCTAATTGGCTCCCGTCAGCGCCTCCTCACCTCAGACGCTGACAGCATCAACATCCATGGTTGCTCACTCCACCTTACTAAGCCAGTCCCGAACCTAGAGGTCTTGTTTGACCCTCAACTATCCTTTCTACCCCACATCTGTGCCATGACCCGCTCTGCCTTCCCCACCTCCCCAACATCGCCCGGCTCTGACACTTTCTCACATCACAGACCCTCATACACGCTTTCATTATATCAACAACAACAACAAGATTCCATTTATTGAGTGCCTTTCACGTCGGGAGGACGTCCCAAGGTGCTGAACAGTTGGGTCAGGACCCGAGCATTGGGGGAAATGGTCAGGGTGAGGGGAGGGAAGGGAGGGGGGGAGGAGGGGGGAAATGGTCAGGGTGAGGGGAGGAAGGGAGGGGGCGAGGAGGGGGAAATGGTCAGGGTGAGGGGAGGGAAGGGAGGGGGTGAGGAGGGGGGAAATGGTCAGGGTGAGGGGAGGGAAGGGAGGGAGCGAGGAGGGGTAGAGAGTCGAGAGTGGAGCTGAAGGCTGAAGGTCAAAGAGAAAGGTCTTGAGACCGGCCTTGAAGGAGGAAAGGGAAGAGGCAGCGATGGCACTGAGGGATAGAGTTCCAGGCTCGACTATGCAAATTCACTGCTTGTCTCCTCCCTCCACAGGCTGCAGATCATCCACATCTCTGCAGCCTCTCCCGCACCAGGCTCTGCTTCCTTCCTAGGTGGGCTGGAAACATACTGATCCAGAAAGTTATTCTTCACACGTTTCAGGAATCCACCCCCCTCCTTGCCCTTTACAGTCAGTCCACGTTAGGATGAATGAAGTCCCCCATTATCACTACCCTATAGGTTTGGCATCTATTCTGAAATCTGTTTGCAGATTTGCTTGTCTCTCTGCTCTCTCTATTTGGGGATCTATAGTACACACCTAACAGAGTAACAGCTCCTTTTCTGCTCCTTAACACTAAGCAAATAGATTGTATTTTTGGACCCTTTAGCACATCGTCCTTTTTCAGTGCCATAACCATGTCTTTAATCAATATTGCCGGCCACCCCTCCTTTTCCTTCCCTATCCCACCTAAGTACATTGCAATAATAATAATAATAATAATAATAATAATAATAATCCTTGCATTTGATATAGCGCTTTTCACGTCGGGAGGACGTCCCAAAGCGCTTCACAGAACACACTGTAAAGTGAATTGACTGTATATTTGTGGGCGAACGCGGCAGCCAATTGCGCACAGCAATGTCCCACAAACAGTCATGGATTGAAAATGACCAATTTATTATTGTTTTTTTTGTTTTTTTTGGAGGATTATTATTAGGCGTGTGGAGTAAGGAAACTTGCCCAAACTTGTAGCCAGGAATATTGAGCTGCCATTCATGCCCTTGTTTGAGCCAGGTCTCCGTTATTGCCATTACATCATAACCCCATGTGGCAACTTGAGCCGCAGCTTACCAACCTTATTTGTCACACTCCATGCATTTACACACATGCCCTCCAAGACCGACTGAGTCTGTTCTGCATTTTGCCCCCTATCTAATCCCTACTTTCTCTGGATTACTCCTTATTACATTGCTATTTATCTCTCCCAGCCCTCTATGTAACTTGCTTCTCCTCTCCCTGATGCTACATCCTGAGTGCTTTCCCCCTCAAAATTGGTTTAATCTTTCCCCACAACACTAGTTAACTTCCCTGCAAGGACATTGGTCCCAGCCCGGTTCAGGTTTAACCCATCTACCTTGTACGGTCCCTCCTAGACCAGAACTGGTCCCAATATTGCAGGAATCTGAAGCCCTCCTTTCTGCACCGTTTCTCCAGCCATGTATTCATGTGTTTGATCCTGCTGGTTTGATACTCACTTGCATGAGGCACTGGGAGTAATCCAGAGGTCATCGCCTTTGAAGAACTACTTTTTAGCTTATTCCCTAGTTTCTGATACTCAACATGGACCATAACTTCTGGATGTTTCCTTTCGCCATGTAGAATGTTTTGGACCCGTTCCGTGATGTTTTCAACCCTGGTACCAGGGAGGCAACATACCCTGCAAGAGTTGTTTTTGATTTCAGAAACGCCGTCTACTCCTTTCTCCGTTGTGTCCTCAATGACAATTGCATTGACACATTCTCTGTGTCACCCTGTGTAACCATTGGCTTTTGACTCTCCTCCCCAGAAGTGTCATTACCCTCACTGGTGTTCAGTACAGAGAACCGGTTTGTGAGTGCCACACTCTGACGGTATTTCTGCACTACCCGTCCCCTCTTCCTACCATGCCGGGTGGTCATCAATCACTCTCCTCATGAATCCTCTGTGGCTGTGGAGTAACCATCTCCTGAAACGTTCAATCCATGAACTCTTCAGCCTCCCCTATGCTATGTAGTGACACCAGCCTCTCCTTGAGCTCAGAAACCCTGAGCTGAAGCTTGAGCAGCTGAGACACTTCCTACACACGTGTCTGTCGTGGGCAAACAAAACCTCCTGGAGTTCCCACATGGTACACATTGTGTATGCAACTGGTCTCAGCTGCCCTACCATATTCCCAGACACATTTTATATTATTTTAATATACTGTTATTTAATTTATAATTATGCATGTGTTTCCCCCCTCTGCACTGAATTCCCACTTTTTTGGTGAAAGAACGAGTTCTCTTTTGCTCCCTATTGCTCTCTTGCTGACGAATTCCCACTCTCACTAAATTCCTTAATAGAATTCTCACTCTATTTCCACCTCACTCAGTACCTCCTCACGCTGCTGGGCTCTCTGCTCAGGTGAGGCTCTCGCAAGTCATCTCCTTTATGTAGGACTTGAACAAAAACACCCAGTGTCGACTGGTCAGCAGATGTTTTAATCTCCAACATCTGGCCTACGATTAACTGCTAAGTGACGTGTTTGCCTGCTTACATATGAGGTTTCCTCTATCTCAAACTAGATTTCACACTCTTCTGCTGAATGAAACAGTTCTCTCTTGCCCTCTGGTATCCCTCTTGCTGAAGAATTCCCACTCTCACCAAATTCCTTAACACAATTCTCACTCTATTCTACCTCACTCAGTCCATCCTCACGCAGCTAGGCTCTCTGCTCAAGTCTGTCAGACATTAAGTCTTGGAGGAGAACTAACTTTCTCCAGTTGAATCTCAGCAAGAGTGAGGGCCTCCTATTTCCTTCCCATTAGTGACTCCACACCACAGGTACTGACAGCCTAAATTTTCATGAATGTGCTCTACACCTTATTCATATAGAACCTTTGTTGTCCAGGTTGCCCCCCAATTGTCCCTCATCCCCCAAATCCATGTCAGGATCTGCTCCATTTTTCCCCACCTCCGCAACATTGCCCATTTCCACCACTGTCTCTCCCCACAGGCCACCGACTCCCTAGTCCACGCCTTCATAACTTCCAGGCTTGACTATGCAAATTTGTTGCTTGGGACGTCGTTCTGATGTGAAAGGCGCTATACAAATTTAATTTTGTTGTTGTTGTTATCGGCTTCCCCAACTCCTCCCTCTGCAGATAATCTGCAGATTATCCAGAACTCTGCAGCCCATATCCACATTATGGATAGTTGAGGGACTCTGCCACCCTATTACCCCCATCCTCGCCCGACTCCCTGGCTTATTATAATAATAATAATAATAATCCTTGCATTTGATATAGCTCTTTTCATGTCTTCTCAACGTCTGAAAGCGCTTCACAGAACACACTGTAAAGTGAATTGACTGTATATTTGTGGGCGAATGCGGCAGCCAATTGCGCACAGCAATGTCCCACAAACAGTCGTAGATTGAAGATGACCAATTTATTATTGCTTTTGGTTTTGGAGGGATTATTATTAGGCTCTGTGTGGAGTAAGGACACTTGCCCAAGGTTTCACCCTCTGCCTGGAATTGAACTCAGGACTCTCACTTGCAAAGCGAGTGCTCTAACCACTGAGCTACAGGACTCCACAATGGCTTCCCATCACTCAGAGGATATAGTTCAAGATCCTGGTCCTCACCTTCAAAACCCTCCATGGTCTTGCTCCCCACTTTTTGACCCCTAACCCCCTACTATCCTGCTCGCTTCCTCTGCTCAGCGGGCTCTGACCTGCTTCACCTCCCCCACTTTGTTCGCCCTGTTATCGAGGGGCAGGCCTTCTACCATTCTGGCTTCACCCTCTGGAACTCCATCCCCAGTCCTCACACACTCCTGTATCTCCTTCAACACCCATCTAAAAAACCTCCTCTTTGACTTCGCCCTGGGTCACACTTCTACCCACCCCGCCCTCCAACCCTCCTGAACTCAACACCCAGCTCAGGTCAAAATCCCTGACTGTCCAGAGCCTTGGGATGCTGAAGAAGCTGGAGTTGATTGATTGTGCTGTTCTGTTCACCACAACCAGCTCCTGCGAGATCACCTCAGCGAGTGTGGAGAAGCCGGCCCCAGCCCTGGCATTGACAGAAGCCACTGGTCCCCTCCCACAGCCACAGCCACAAGGGCAGAAGGGGAAGAAGGCGCCTCGACCTCCAAAGAAAAAGTATCAGAAGGCAGGATTGTACTCTGATGTCTACAAAGTTGCTGAGTGAGTATATTTTAGAATTGGTGTTTCCCTCCGTGCTTCAATGAAATCTATCTGCTTAATCCTGCTGTACTTGTCACCTAGACTTTATCAGTAGCACTCTTCACCTCGTTGTTAGAAGGTTTTGGGTTCGAGCCCCATGTCAACACTAAAACCCAGTGTAGGGTGAGACAAAAAGTCACAAGGAGAAAAATCAATTCCCCTGTAGAATTATTGGCCAGGACCCCGGGATAAACTCCCATTTCCAATCATGTTTGCTGAACTTCAACATCCATCTGAAAAGGCAAGCAAGCAAAGCCTGTTTTAACACCTCAGCTGAAGTACAACACTTCCAACAATACTGCACTCCATCTATCACTGTATCACTGGTGCACCAGCCTAGATCAGGCCAGTCCAATGTTTTGGCTGCTGAGTCGGCAGTTATTAAGGACACTGTGGGTAAGGAGATAAGCTTGCCTTCAACAAGGACCGCATGTTGGACCGCCCTAGCCTAGACTGTGTAGTCCTGTAGCTCAGTGGTTAGAGCATTCGCAGAGTAATGAGAGGACCTGGGTTGGATTCCCGGGTGGGACAAGCAGGGCGAAATGTTGGGCAAGTTTCCTTCCTCCACACACACACACCTCTACTTACCAGCAGGAACCTGCTGTTAGTCGATTCGCGGATTACTTTCAGGGGGTAATAGTCGATCCAGAAAAATAATAATAACGTGGTCACTCAATTTCTGTTTGTGGGACATTGCTGTGCGCAATTGACTGCTGTGCTTTTCCCACAAATATACAGTCAATTCACTTTACAGTATATTCTGTGAAGGGCTTTGAGGCATTTCGAAGATGCGATAAGGCACTGTATCAAATGCAAGGAAAATAAGGGGGTTTCTGATCCCTCATTTCCAAAATTGGATTGCATCCTTGCACTCTCAACAACAACAACTTGCATTTAATCAGTGTCCCTCTCTCAGAATATCCCAGTGGCAGAGCACTATGCTGTGCTGGGGGAATGGGAGGTTACCGGAAGCATGGCCAAAGAGGAAGGCCTTCAGGAGCGACCCAAAGCAGGGGATGGAGGGGACAAGGCGGTGGGATTGAGGGAAAGAGTGACAGCTTCAGGACTGAAAGCATGGCCATCAATGGTGGAGTGAAGGACACAAGGGGCGAGCAGGAGGCTGGAGCCAGTCGGGTGGAGCAGTGGGTTGGAGGTTGGGGATAAGCAGTTTGGAGATGCCAAGTAGGGAGGTCCCAGGGGTTGAAAAGTTTGAAGATGAGGATCTTGAAATCGCTCTCTGCCAGTTAGTGCTGTTAAATCAAATGCAGACATTGAATACAAGTAATGAAGACATCATGCTAGTGTCCAAACACTAGATGTTGTAAGGGATAAGGAATTTCAGTGAAAGATTTCATTAGCTTTGAGAAGGTAAAACACTTGATAGAGATTCTTCAAAGTTATGAAGGATTGCAGCAAGCTAAATAGTGTTACAGTAAACATGGCTTAATTTTTCACTAGCTTAAGTTATCATTGTATCAATATCCTGTTTTTTTGTTTATTTACAAATTATACATATGCCTAACTTGCCACTCCTGGTAACTCCTGGTGACAAATTACATTCTGTCCATCTGCGACCAGAGCTCCCTCTGCCTCCTCGTCATCCTTGACCTCTCTGCTGCCATCGACACCATTGACCATTCTATCCCCATACACCGTCTTTCCTCTCACCTCAACCTCCACGGCTCTGTCCTTGACTGGTTCAGTTTGTACCTCTCACACAGTTTCTCCTCCGGCCCCTGCACCATGTCGTGTGGCATTCCTCAGGGCTCTGTCCTTGATCCCCTCCTCTTCAATATCTATTTGTTCCCTCTTGGTGACATCAACCACAAACATGGGGTCAATTTCCACATGTATGTAGATGACACTCAACTCTACCTCTCTGCCCCCACCCTTGAATCCAGGGCCACTGCTGTCCTGACAGAATATCTGACATCAAGTCCTGGATGAGAGCAAACTTTCTTCAGTTGAACGCCAACAAGACCGAGGCCCTCCTGATTGGCTCTCGTCAGCGCCTCCTCACCTCAGGCGCTGACAGCATTACCATCCAAGAATGCTCACTCCGCCTTGCTAAGCCAGTCCAGCACCTTGGGGTCTTGTTTGATCATCAACTGTCCTTTCTACCCCACATCTGTGCCATGACCCGCTCTGCCTTCCCCATCTCCGCAACGTCACCCGGCTCTGCCACTGTCTCACACCGCAGCCCCCGAGACCCTTATACATGCCTTCATTACATCGAGACTCGACTGCAAACTCCCTGCTTGTCGGCTTTCCAACTCCTCCCGCTCCAGGCTCTGTGACCCTATCACCCCATCCTCCCAACTCCACCGGCTTCCCATCACACAGAGGATACAGTTCAAGAAGCTGCTCCTCAACTTCAAAGCCCTCCACGGTCTTGCTCCCCCCGACCTCTACCACCTCCTAATCCCCTACCACCCTGCTCGCTCTCTCCACTCAGTAAGCTCCGTCCTGCCTCACGTCCCCCGCCTCACTCCCCCCACTAATGGCAGGCGGGCCTTCTGCCACTCTGCCCCCACCCTCTAGAACTCCATCCCGCAGTCCCTCCGTCTCGCCCCCTCCCTCACCATCTTCAAGGCCACCTCAAGATCCTCCTCTTCGACCATGCTTTTGATCTCCCTCCTTGCCCTCCACCCTCTCTGATCCTGACCGCCAGTTCGGGTCCATAACTCTGTCTATCCAGCGCCTTGGAATTTCCTTGGAATGTCCTCCCAATATGAAAGGTGCTTTATATATGTCATTTTGTTGTTGTTGTTGTAACTTGGCACTTAGCTCTTTTCTTTGGAGTGACAAGTTTTATACTCCTGATAACTTTATAAGACTGTGCGAGAGAGATCATGGGTTTGCATTTAATTGGAGTCTTTCCCTGTCTGTATGGCTTAGCCACAATTTTCAGCAAGTCCCAAAACATTGAGGCTGCTTGCTTAGGAGAAATCTAAGCCAGGCTGTGGCTAACCTACTGCATACAATTCAGTTGCCTTTTATAAAGCCCAACTCCCTCCTGTTGTGATGGTTTTAGAATTGTTTACAGTGCCTTGTGTTAAAGGGAGAGGTTTGCAGCTTGTTCTATTCAGTGTTTAACTAGTGGTTCTCTCTGCCTCTCGTTAGCCCAAAGAGTCGTTTGATCTTGGTGAAGAAGGAGAAGCTGGAGTACATCCCGGGAGAGCATGACTATGGCCTGCTCCCTGCTCCCATGCATGTTGGTGAGTTCTCTTAATACCTCCTCTGATTTTCTTCTGCTCCTCCTCCTCCTCCTCCTCCTTCTTCTTCTTCCCCCCCCAATATATTTCAGCCCTTTTTCTTGTTTCTGGGGTACTGTGTGCTGTCCAATGTGTTGAGTGCTAAAGAATTTTTTTTTGTCAGCCAGTTGTCCTACAAAATGGAATTTCAACACCGACACTACCGAGAATTCCACTCCTGGGATTCTGTGGTTCTGTTATGGAGCACTCTCTACCCCCTCACCGTTTCTTGCCTCCCCTTGGAGGGATGCACCCGCTCATCTATTCCAGAAGTCGTATAGCTCGGTGGTTAGAGAATTCGCCTCACAAACGAGAGGACTTGGATTAAATTCCTGGGAAGGGCAAAGCATTGTGCAAGTTTCCTTATTCCGCATACGGCTCTATTTACCAGCAGTAAATAGTAACACGGTTGTTAGTCGATTGGTGGATTACTTTCCAGGGAAGGTAATAATTCCTCCAAAATAATAAAAATATGGTATCTTAATCCATGACTGTTTGTGGGGAAGTCGCTATGTGTGCAATTGGGTATTGCATTTCTCCCACAGAATACACAGTCACTGCACTTTGCAGTGCATTCTGTGCAGCGCTTTGATTCATCTCAAAGTCGTGATAAGGAGTATAGCAAATGCAAGGATTATTATTATAAGTGGGTGGATAACTATAGCAGAGCAACAGTCAAGTGAGTGTAGCATTGAGTGGGTTCATGCTTGACTCCTTTACTGTGTTTTCTTTCCTATAATAATAATAACAATTTTATTAATAATAATAATCCTTGCACTTGATATAGCGCTTTTCATGTCTTCTCGATGTCTGAAAGCGCTTCACAGAACACACTATAAAGTGAATTGACTGTATATTTGTGGGCGAACTCGGCAGCCAATTGCGCACAGCAATGTCCCACAAAGAGTTGTGGATTGAAATGACCAATTTTTTTTTCTTGAGGGATTATTTTCAGGCATGTGGAATAAGGAAACTTGCCCAAGGTTTAAGCACATAGCCTGACTGGGATTGGAAACTCAGCAATTTGCTGTTTGCTTTGATCAAATCTAGTCCCAAACTGAAAGGCGCTATATAAATGTAACTTGAGTTGTATCTTTTGGTTGTCAGCTTCATAGCAGGCACATCTATTTGCCAAGTCCCCTCACATGAAGACCTGGATTAAGCAGCTGGTGCTGAGTAAACCTGGTTCATGTCAATAGACTTGGACTTCAAGAGCATCAAGGTGGGTGGCAAGTCACAAGCTGACCTTGTTTCTATGTCCAGCACCTGTAATCCACCTGGAATGGCTTCCAGAGAGCAAGCAGCTGCTACTTAAGCTCCACGCTGCCAGCTGGTTGAACAATTGCTGAATGCTCAACCAGTCACAGGAGACAGGGAATCCTACCACTCAGTTCCCGTTAACCCTGCTAGCCAAAGCCCTAAGTAACTGGTAGGGTGGTCCTAGCTGAACAAGCGGCGGGAAAGACAGATAGATAGGTTTCTTATTGCAAAAGGGATGAAGGGATATGGGGGTCAGGTTATTAGCTGGAGTTAGATTGGAAGATCAAACATGATTGAATGGCGGGGAAGGCTCGAAGGGCCGAATGGCCTTCTCCTGCTGCTACATGTTATGTTATGTTGTTATGTTATCAGTGATAGAGTGTGGAGTTCTACGATGGGGCAATTTTGGGGGGAAGCAGCTCAGGTTGGGGATAGCAGTAAAAATGTACAACAAACACCAATCAGTGAGACATTTGTTTTGTGTGTATAACTTGCTGCTACTGACCATGTTCATTTTGCTCTTCAGGTAAATACTTGAGGCAAAAACGAATAGACTTTCAGTTGCCATACGACATTCTCTGGCAGTGGAAACATAATCAGGTATGTGATCTATATGTATGGTATGTAGGCGAGTAGGGCAAAAGGAGGAGGACGGGCAAATGGATGCATTGACAGCCAAGCATATGGAGATGAGAGCTCAACCCCATACACACTGACACACTCCTCCCCTCACACACTGACACACTCCTCCCCTCCCCTCACACACTGACACACTCCTCCCCTCCCCTCACACACTGACGCACTCCTCCCCTCCCCTCACACACTGACACACTGCTCCATTGTGTAAAGACAACAGATTTTTCTTGCTTTTCAACATCGTAATAAATCATTTCCCCTCATACTTCAATGCACATTTTCCAGATTTTACAGTTTTACTAAAAATTGTATTATGTCGTACTTGATCAAATGCCTATTGAATAACAATATAAGCTACATCAACTGCTGTGCACCTTTGTCTGTCCCAATTCACCAACAAGTATGCAGTCATTATACTTTACAATATATTCTGTGACTGCTTTGAGATGTCTCAAAAACATGATAAGCTCTTTATTCAATCTCACCTAGAATCACAGATCAAAGTTGCCACTTGTCCCTATCCAGGGCTCTGCTTCACAGGTAATTCCCATTCTATACAGTGGCTATTTGTAGGTAAATGTGCCAAGCCACGTGCCACAACTCGTCACGGGATGAAAGACTAATCTATTGGAAGGATTGTTGGGCAAGGCACAGGGGAAACTCCATTGTCTCTTCCCCTAAGTGTCAGAAACGCCCACCTTGACCTGCCCTCCCTTCCACCCCTTCAACGTTGCTCTTTTCTCCTTGTGTCCAGGGCCTGATGTGTAGTTATTGTGTTAAACAGACAAATGACTATATTTTTTCTCTGTGCTTCGCAGCTGTACAAAAAGCCTGACGTTCCTCTGTACAAGAAGATCCGATCCAGTGAGTCAATTTCCCTTTTCTGCTCTCAAACTGCTGTGAAGGTCTCCCTATGGCTTTAACTCTTGTCCAATCCTGTACTCTCACAAAATTCAGTAAAATAGATTCTGTTGTTTCACTGCAAAATACTACAGCAGAGAGAAGCTTCCTCTCACCCTCTTTTCCATTGCCGTTTCCATTGGACGGGAAAGGGACCAATTAGCCGTGGTGCTCAATGTGATTGACAGGTGAATAGACCCAATCGCAAGTGGCTATAGGTGGTCAATTATTGCCATTTGGCTCCTTCCATTCTATTCTCCATATCTCCACTCTCCCCACTGATTGACAGCCCAACTCCAGCCCTTGGTGAATGGTTGGAGTCCACTGTCAATCAATCTTTGACTCTCCCATTTCCTTTCTGGAGCCCCTCGTACCTGAATGAACAAATTGAAGGCCAGAGTGAGTACATTTACAGGTGACAAGTATGGCATTTAGTTTCGAGTAACTAAGTGAAGTGCGAAGACATCCACCTCGGGAGCAAAAACAGTAGAGCGGGTTATTTTTTAGAAGGGGAGAGATTGGAATGTGTTAGTGTCCAGAGGGACTTGGGTGTCCTTGTATACCAATCACAGATAGTTAGTCTGCAGGTACAGCAGCAATTAGGAAGGCGAACGGTATGTTAGCATTCATTCTGAAAGGATTAGAGTATAAGAGTAGGGAAGTCTTGCTGCAACTGTATAGGGTCCTGGTGAGACCACACCTGGAATACTGTGACCAGTTTTGGTCTCATTTAAGGAAGGATGTACTTGCCTTGGAGGGGGTGCAGCGTAGATTTACTGGGTCAGTGCCAGGGATGGAGGGGATGAGTGACGAGGATAGGCTGACCAATTTGGGCCGATATTCTCTGGAGACAGTGTGTGGGTGTGTGAGAGACAGTGTGGGTGTGAGAGAGACAGTGTTGGGGTGAGAGAGACAGTGTTGGGGTGTGAGAGACAGTGTTGGGGTGTGAGAGACAGTGTTGGGGTGTGAGAGAGACAGTGTTGGGGTGTGGAGAGAAGTGTTGGGGTGTGAGAGACAGTGTTGGGTGTGAGAGAGACAGTGTTGGGTGTGAGAGAGAGTGTTGGGGTGTGAGAGAGAGTGTTGGGTGTGAGAGACAGTGTTGGGGTGTGAGAGAGACAGTGTGTGGGTGTGAGAGAGACAGTGTGTGGGTGTGAGAGAGACAGTGTGTGGGTGTGAGAGAGAGACAGTGTGTGGGGTGTGAGAGAGACAGTGTGTGGGTGTGTGAGAGAGACAGTGTGTGGGTGTGTGAGAGAGACAGTGTGTGGGTGTGAGAGAGACAGTGTGTGGGGTGTGAGAGAGACAGTGTGTGGGGTGTGAGAGAGAGACAGTGTGTGGGTGTGAGAGAGACAGTGTGTGGGTGTGTGAGAGAGACAGTGTGTGGGTGTGAGAGAGACAGTGTGTGGGTGTGAGAGAGACAGTGTGTGGGTGTGAGAGAGACAGTGTGTGGGTGTGTGAGAGAGACAGTGTGTGGTGGGTGTGAGAGAGACAGTTGTGTGGGTGTGAGAGAGACAGTGTGGTGGGTGGTGAAGAGGAGAGACCAGTGTCGGTGGGTGTGAAGAGGAGACAGTTGGTGTGGGTGTGAAGAGAGACAGTTGAGGAGTGTGCGGAGTGTGTAGAGAGACAGTGTGTG